AAATTATTTTATTTCATTACTTTTTTCTTTAAATTCAATGTTTTTGGTCCTTACTATTGTGATAGGAGTTGCGACTCAAGGTCATCCAGATGCCAGCTACTGGGTAACGGTATACCGTCTAACGTATAAAAGAAGTGCTTCGTCTAGTTTCAAGAACTATAAAAAGGGCGTGTTCTTTATTGGAAATACAGACAGATCAACAGTAGTAAAGCATGACCTCAGTCCTCTAATTTCTGCAAGATACGTTCGATTAATAGTAATAGACTATAAAACGTGGCCAGCGCTTAGAATAGAGATATATGGGCCTTGCCTTTGACTTGACAACATAACCTGGACGATAATTTTAAACTATGATCCGAGCAATTGAGGTAGCGCGTGATTAGTCGATATGCATGCATCTCTAACGTAAAAACACTGTTAGCCCAAGTTCCGCATTACCTGTCAAGATACCAAAGAATGTAAAAACGTCAATAAATTTCGCTATTACTTACTGTATGTCATAGTCACTCGTAATTTGTGGAGGGTTTTTAAAATTTTCGGAATTCATTTCCCCTCATACAATATTAAAAAAAATCGACTTCAGGAGCCTCTTAATTCGTCGAAATTCGAGATTTAGTGCAGTTTGTTTCTTTGCAAAGCTGTCAAGGGATAACGTACCACTGCAGAAATGATGATGTCATCGGCCAATCTGATTTCCCTGCTGAGCACCTCCTTCTATCTTTGTCCTCAGAATGCTGTCAGTAAGGGTTAGAACAAGATGGCGGACGCTCTCTATGGAGACGGGTACAATTTCAAAAGTACAAAATGTCCTGTTTTTGGTACGGATCATGATCCTTAGCTTCAAGGGAGCTGCCCAGATTTGAAGGTCTTAGTTAATCTAGAGAGCAAGGAAACTAATTTTTAGTTCTCCATACATTTCTTTGTGTTTTCCGCGTTCATCCGTGATGCGCATAAAAAGTAACTTCGAAATTCCATATGGTTGTCCTGTACACGGCGCTAACTATACATAGAGGCCCCTCATTTACACATTATGTGAAGATGAACTTTCTTAAACTGGCCATGGAAAGAATTGATTTAAATGTCGAGCACGAAGAGGTTCGAGCCCAGTACCATATAGCCCTTTATAGTTTCCCTAAAATCACTTCGCTTGAGTGAACCTGAATTTTTGCGATATTTTGAGCAAAACAATCATGAATAACCATGTTTCAGTGAAATAATAAGATTGAATACATAATTAGATAGTGAGCCTTCTATAGGTACATGAGAGAGCCCTCTCCTGATATGGATCCTATATTAGTCTTCCTCGAGACTTTTCACACCTAGACAACCATTAAAGCAAGTCGTGTGTTATTTAGTAATGTCTAATCTAACAGTATCATAACATATCATTTTACAGATTTATCACATAATTTGTGATTTTTTTTTTTTTTTGAATTCATGTGAAATACGTCGAATAAACCATGCCTTGATTCACTGCAGCTTGTGACATATTCTCGAATTATTTYCTTTCGACCGCAGTCATGATATTACCTCTAACTCTACTACAAAAGAGTTTCCGTTACTCGTAATAAGCTAAACAATCCAAGCGGAAGCATTTAGCTCGTGGGTGTGATTAAATCGAGCTTTAGTGTAGTCTTTTCAAATATCACGGAAGGGTTTGGCCATTACATAGTTGATTTTATTCTGATTTTGATCGCATGTCCATTCATAGAAGGAAGGAAGTGAAGCATGGGTCTGTGCAGTTGTTTTTAGCATGGCCGCCTATCGCTCAGCTTCTCATCTTAGACAATAACTCGACACCTATAGGTGTCCAATATTATGAATGAGTTCACACTGATAATTGTTCCAATAATAAATAGTCGTGCATAAAAATGTACAGCAAAGAGAGAMAGCGTTCATTTGCCGAAAAGAAAAGTACCTTGAACTGCAAGTCTATCACCAAAAATCAACTTGATACGAATGYCATATTTGTCGATAAATATTGTCAAAAAATCCCTGCAGCACTGATCGACAGTAGACTGAATCTAGATCCGTGCAGTTTSTACCAAAGAAAGTATGTCGAATAAAAGACTAAAAACTGTCGCCATTATTGGAGCAGGCCCAAGTGGTCTTTCATCAATCAAAGCTTGTCTAGAAGAAGGCATGACTCCATTGTGTTTTGAAAGAGAAAGTTCGCTTGGTGGATTATGGAGGTATAGCGAGGAMGAKGGACATAGTTCAGTATACAAGTCAACAGTTATAAACACTTGTAAAGCAATGAGTAGTTTTTCAGACTTCCCTATGCCAAAGAGATTTCCTGTCTTTCCACCACACATTCAAATCCTGGAATATCTGAATCTTTATGCTGCCAACTTCGATCTGCACAAGTACTTAATGTTCGACGTAACAGTTACAGAAGTACGCAAGACTGCGGACTACGCAACAACAGGACGTTGGGTCGTTACTTTCCGTAAGAAAGATTGCAACGTAACGGMGATGATATTTGATGGCGTTCTTGTCTGTAGCGGTCATCTATGGTGTCCTTCCTGGCCAAGCTTTCCTGGAATGCATGAATTTAAAGGAATTCAAATGCACAGTCATTCATACAAACATCCAAATGCATTCAAGAATAAGAATGTCCTGGTTATAGGTATGTATCACTTATGAGCGATTCATGGCTAATATTCATGTGTATACATATAAGTTTTGGTTAAGAACCAGTGTTTTTATATGTCGATGCWTGCTTGTCATTGTTTTTTGTTATTAGTTTAAGAGGTTGGTTTGGTTGGCTACACATGGTTTAATACTGACAGAGCCGGCTGATCAGTTAGTTGTGGTTGTTAATTTATTTAGTCGTTGATTATAGTTTATTGGTTGTTTATTTTTGTGTTTTGTTATTATAAGTCAAATGCAGATTTGTCTTTTTATTTTCTTTGCTCATTGCTTGGTGGACCAGAATTGAACTGCTGGTTGCGTTGTTTGGCTTTGAGGKCTGAGATCACATAATTATAACAGTTGTRGMAKTTATATTAATRATAATTTTTTCTGTAGGGCTTGGAAACTCTGCWGCWGATATTGCAACGGAACTAAGCCGCTCAACATCCCAAACATACCTCAGTACCCGCAGAGGAGCATGGGTAATATCGAGACTTTCTAGCCAAGGTGCACCCTGGGATTACTACTACGAAAGGCGWRTRTACACCAAGATACCTTCCAAGATCTTCGAATGGATGTTTTTGAAGTGTGTACGATTTGATCATGATTATTTTGGACTTCGTCCTCGACATGGATTCCTTAACGCACCAAGTGTTATAAGTGACGATTTRCCRCATCGAATTGTAAACGGTTCGTTGAAGCTGAAGCCWAATGTCTCTCATTTCAATCGATCTGGAGTCGTTTTTGATGATGGCAGTAMCATCGATGATCTTGATGCTGTTATCTATTGTACTGGCTACAAAATAAARTTTGAATTTCTTAGTGATGAGATATTGACAGTTGAGAACAATCAGGTGGAACTGTATAAGTACGTGTTCCCYCCTGATCTTGACCATCCTACATTAGGATTCATTGGTCTTGCACAGTCCTCTGGAGCCATGTTTTCTCTTGTGGAGCTCCAAGCGCGCTGGGYATCACGGGTCATTTCCGGTAAATGYYGTCTTCCAAGCAGAGAGATAATGCTTGACGATATAGAGAAGAAGAAACAGGCAATGCAGGACAACTTTATTCGTACAAAGAGATGTACAATCCAGGTCTGTAAAAAACAATTCATAATTTATTAATGCACGGGTGCTGAATGATTGAAGACGGAGGTGTTGTATTAATTAATATCTTATACTCATCAGGTCTCCAGCATTGGTTATCGAGATGAGATAGCTAAGTTAATAGGATGTAATCCATCACTATTCAAGCTTTGCTTTTCTGACCCTCGYCTTGCTCTTCTTTGTATCTTTGGTCCGTGCACGCCTGCTCAGTATCGCCTYAATGGTCCAGGCTCCTGGAAWGGAGCCAAAGAAGCTATAATAAGTGCTTATTATGGTGTATACCCGGACAATCCCAGAATGCAACATCGAAAGAAGGGATWTGTCAGACATTGTATTGGTGARGTAYTGAGGTGCATCRTCCTTGACGTCACGTGTCATTTGCTCTCAGCATTTGTTATCTTTGCAAATGATCTCAGTTTTCCAGTTCATGAATGATCAATTTARTKWWMAAYWWAKWWWAAWMYA